TATAAACGACATTGAGCGTTTTTTTCTTTGTGAATTCTGCGCTATTCTCATTTTTTAAAAGAAATCTTTAATATCCTTGCATTTTGAAAGACCCATGTACTATTTTAGGCGTCTTTACTACAAGCATATATAAATATAATTTTACATGCAAAGAATATCATTATCAGTTGTCTGAGCAAGATCTTGAACACGGTAAGAGATTAAGACACCAAACTTATATGAGCAACAGACCTTAAGATGTAGACAAAACATTTGAGTTCAGAGCGTCAGCCGTCACTTCCGGTCGTCACAGGAAGTGATCAAAGAAATCGAAATTTCAACTTTTCTTTTTTTAATTAAAAATTGCATCACTTTATTGCATCTTTTTCGCAGATATGAAAGATGTTGGTCCCACCGGAAACAAAAACAACAACTTCTGGTTATAAGAGAAAAACTAAATAATTTGAATATTTTACTTTCCCATAAATATTCTTTATAAATTAAGTATTTGAAATGAATTTTAAATATGTTATTCAGAGTGCAAATGTCTGGGGTAACCTTAAATATCTTTCAAAAATTCCGGTTGGGTGTTTTTCTGTCCTCAAAATGAGAAAATTTCTGATCGAGATCTCAAAAGCAGGTAAAAGATTAAAAGACCAAACTTTTATGAGCAATAGACCTTGAGGAGTAGGCGTAACCATTTGGGTTAAACACGTCAGTCGTCACTTCCGCTTGTCACAGGAAGTGATGAAAGAAATCACGTTGAATTTTCACACTGACGATCAGGGTTAAATCTCCAGTGCCTGAATTTCTTTTATCACTTTTTCAGCTTGAATTTTTGTTTTTATTTTCAGAATCGAACAGAAGACCTCTCATTGCTCGCAATGAGTTTCTAGTTATTATTATTATTCTAATTAATAGTTTTTTCTAATGGATTTAAAGAAAATCTTTGTTTATATGTATTCTTTATTAGGACCATAAGATAGCATGCCTATATATCTCATGTATGTAAGGTTTTATACTTCTGCGAATGTCACTTCAGGTTTTTATAAGTAAAAAACTAAGATTTCTTTAGGCCAGCTTAAAAATTTCTTATTTTACTTGCAAATTCATTCAGATTTTAGGAAAAGATTCTTCGAAGTAAAACCTACAGAAATGTCAGTGACAGCATTGTTGTATTTTTTATACTTTTTGTGTTATATGACTCCAAACAAAAGAAAGGGGGGATGGAAATTTTGAAATTATAAAAACATGTAGGAAAATTATTTTGAAGACTACAAATATTGTTTATAATGATTTATAGAATATGTACTGTAAGTTTCAAGTCAATCCAAGCAGTGGGGCATTCATGTCTTATGGACATAGTTTTTGTGTGCCATGTATTGATTGCAAAATTTTGAACATTTTTAGCTTTCTCTCTAGAAGGGCTGAACTATAGTTTTAACTAATTAGGTCACCTGAGTCACTCAGGTGACCTATTGCTATCCGTTTTCGTCTATCAGCATGCTTCATGCGGTATGAGTTAACATTTGAACATTTTTAGCTTCTTCTCTGAAACCGCTTAACCAATTTCAACCAAATTTGACATATAGCATCTATGGGTGAAGGGGAACAAAAATTTTGAATTTTGCCCTCCATTGGCCTGAGGGGTGAGGCTAAAACCACCAAAATTAATGCAATCTTCAAAAATCTTCTTCCTTACTCCTGGACACCAAGCAGTCAAACTGTTAGCATGATTGTAATAAGCATTGAGCCTTCTACCAAAATTGTGAAATTCATGGCCCCAGGGTCAGGGTTCTGGTGCTAGGGTGGGGCTATATAGATCATATAGTGAAAGTGCATTATTTCTTTGAAAATCTTCTCTGCTCCTGAGTATTAAATAAAGTAACTTAGTACATAGTTATGAAGAGCAACAGTGTCTCTTCCAAAATTGTGAATTTAATTGCCCCAGGGTCAAGGGTTCTGGTGTTAGGGTGGGGCTGTATTGATTATATAGTGAAAATGCATTAATTCTTTGAAAATCTTCTTTTCTGCTCATGGGTATTAAATACTTTTCTGCTACTGGATATTAAATAAAGTAACCAAGTACATAGTTATGATGATCAAGAGTGCCTCTTCCAAAATTGTGAATTTCATGGCCCCAGGGTCAGGGGTTCTGGTGTTAGGGCGAGGTTCTATTTTAATTTATAGTAAAAATGCATTAATTCTTTGAAAATCTTCTCTGCTCCTGGGTATTAAATAAAGTAACTAAGTACAAAGTTATGATGAGCATAATTGCCTCTTCCAAAATTGTGAATTTCATGGCCCCTGGGTCAGGTGTTTTGGTGTTAGGGCGGGGGCTCTATTGACTATATAGTGAAAATGCATTAATTCTTTGAAAATCTTCTTCTCTGCTCCTGGGTATTAAATAAAGTAACTAAGTACAAAGTTATGATGAGCATAATTGCCTCTTCCAAAATTGTGAATTTCATGGCCCCTGGGTCAAGGGTTCTGGTGTTAGGGTGGGGCTCTATTGACTATACATGTATAATGAAAATGGATTAATTCTTCGAAATACTTCTTCTCTGCTCCTGGGTATTAAATACTTTTCTGCTACTGGATATTAAATAAAGTAACTAAATACATAGTTATGATGAGCAAGAGTGTCTCTTCCAAAATTGTGAATTTCAAGGCCCCAGGGTCAGGGGTTCTGGTGTTAGGGCAGGGCTCTATTGATTATATAGTGCAAATGCATTAATTCTTCAAAAATCTTCTCTGTTCCTGGGTATTATAAAAATCTTCTTCTCTTCTCCTGAGTATTATTCAAACAAAGGAAGTGCATGGTTATGATGAGAAAGAAAGCCTCTTCCAAAATTGTGAAATCCATGGTCCCTGGGTCAGGGGTTCTGGTGAAGGGGGGGGGGGGGGCTCTATTGATTATATAGTGAAAATGCATAATTTCTTTCAAAATATTTTTTTTCTTTTACTGGTTATAAAGCAAAGAAACAAGTGTATACCGTATATACTCGCCTATAAGTCGGTTTTTTGGGAGTTAAACTTTGGTCCAAAACTCTATGTCCGACTTATAGGCGAGTTATAAAAAGATTGGTATTTTAGGTAGTTATGATGAGCAAGGGTCTTCTTCCAGAATTGTGAGTTCATGAACCCTGGGCCAGATGTTGTGGTGTAAGGATGGGGCTTTAATTATTTTTTAATACAGTTAATTCTCAATAAACTGCCACCTTTTGTAAATTAGAAATCATGGCGGTATAACGAATTTGGCGATGAATTGAATTTCCTATTTCTGGGGAAATAAGAAATAGACTTACCATTCTTGGAAATAAAAACATTTAGCATTTATATTCTTAGTATTATATAAAAACACATTTCAAAATTTGTAAATGCGTCAAATAGTTGTTTTGCTTACAATAATTTCGTTTTAAAACAAAATACACAATTATAAAATAAATAGTCAATTCTCAAATTATCGCCATTCGATTCATCACCATTCTCACAATACCGCCATGATTTTTCAAGAACCTTTTTCCTTCTATATAAAATTCTCTTTTTAATGCCAAATTCGCATAACGCCATCTGCCACCCTGTTTTCACAACAAACGTCCATTTCAAAGTGTCAATTATCTCGATATACCGCCACAGATGCATGTGGTAAGTGAAGCGGCTAATTGGTGTCGCTATCTAGATCACCATTGGAAAGCCAGACAAGGTACACTTAATTAAAGAATTAAATAAACAATAATTTTTAATATATCAACTGTAATTATAAATTTTGTTTTCTGTTTAATAAAAAATGATTTAATCATGGTTTTGCCACGAAAGTGGTTGTTGTTAACTTGAGTTCACAGACAATCATATTAGTTTAATCCCTACTTCATATAATGCATAGTTTGCTTTGAAATAATGATACAGTATGAGTTGTGAAAGTTTTAGCAACGACGATGCCATAAACAATAAAAGAATTTACAGGAATCCATTTTTTACATACTATTGGCAAAACATCACGACAATCGACAGGGCATGTTTTTATTAAATACCAGAAGTTCAGATTTACACAATTTTACATGCCTGCACCTGAGCTCATATACATGTTGTGTAGTGAAAATGCATTTCTTTCAAAATCTTCTATGCTTCTGGGCATATTCGAGGCAAACAGAGTAAAAGTTTTAATATGCAAAGGTATTTTTACCAGAATTTTGAACACCTGGACCATTTAGTCAAGTGTTCTGGTCCTGGTGAGGGCTCTATTAGCTTGTATTCTGCTGAGCAAAGTTATTTCCCTTTGCCATTCACCTTTGATAATTAATAACTGTAAATAATGTATTTGAAAGCTTAATAGAATACGAGAATTATGCAAGAATATTGTATAATACAAAAAGTTTAGTTTTATTGATCAAGTAGACTTGGAAATAATAGATGAATAAATTTGAGACAAAAATAACTTATCTTTTTAAATGTTCTTCAAAGGCCAAGAGAGGCCAATGTGAGAAGTAATAATACGGGGTTAAAAAATATATATTCTGTTAAGAGTCTGCATGGTAATGGGACAGATAGATACTAGACCAATTATTTTGTTGACGCTAATCACACTATTTTTCTTGCTTTTGGGCAACAAAGCTTCATTTATCAGTTTATGGATCCTCTAAGTTGTTGTATTGTACTAAGGTGACCGTTATGGCCCTTTGGCCTCTTGTTTTGGTATATAGCATCACACTCACAACACTAAAAAAACTTCCTTGAATGTATTGATAATGTAAAACCAAACTAATGGTTGAGATTCAGGCTTAAATTTAGTATTGCCAGGTCACCAAGATGCTTTAAATTCTATTTAATATGGGCTGGCATAGATAAGTGATAATTTAGTACTCAAATTCTTGTGAATAAATTAGTACGATAATTATTGACAGGGTGAGAAAATTTTGGGGAAAAAAATAATATCCTGGAGGTTTAAAATTATTTTGAGTCAGGAGGGGGCAAACAAACAATTTTTAAAAGATGGCCTAATCACTGTGCATGTTTCCTAGGGAAATGGATCAAACAATGGGACAGGCAGGAGAATTTGACATTGCTGAGTATTACCGCCTTCATCTAGCAGTAGAGAAAATCAGGTAAGAGAAAGCTTGTTAAGTACAAGTAATAATAATAGACAAGAGGCCCATGGGACAGGCAGGAGAATTTGACATTGCTGAGTATTACCGCCTTCATCTAGCAGTAGAGAAAATCAGGTAAGAGAAAGCTTGTTAAGTACAAGTAATAATAATAGACAAGAGGCCCATGGGCCACCACATCGCTCACCTGAGCACATTGGCTACAAAAAAGCAGAAATCAGTGCAGTATTGAAAAGTTTACAGGGGGGCACCTTAAATTTTAAATTAACACTACATGTACCTCAGGATTCCATATCAGTTTTACTAATCATGGCTTTGCTGTTCTTGAACAGAAGAATTTTAAAGATTTTTTTTATGGCATTGAGCTCTGGAGCTGGAACGTCATATAGCAGGTGTCTGATTGAAGTCGCCACCAGAATTTACTGGACTGAATGTGTCAGTCAATGCATCAGCAAAAGAAAATATCAATCTCTTTGAAAATGTTCACAATGAATAATAGCTTGAAAATAAAAATGCATCAATTATATCTACAATTAATTCTGTTACAAAACAAAGATACTTGGTTTATTTTCACACAAGAAAAATGTGATGGTTGTTTCAAATTTTAACCTATTTCATTTAATTTTTTTGAGGCCGGTACATACTGTAAAGCTTGTCTTATTAAGTCTTAAAATTTTTAAAAGTTTATGGAAGTCACCAAAATAAGACACATAATCTTCTAAACAGTCACTGCATAAAGAGCTTTTTAGCTCACCTGAGCTGAAAGCTCAAGTGAGCTTTTCTGATCACCCGTTGTCTGTCATCCGTCCGTCCGTCTGTCCGTCCGTCTGTAAACTTTTCACATTTTCGACTTCTTCTCAAGAACCACTGGGCCAATTTTAACCAAACTTGGTACAAAGCATCCTTGGGTGAAGGGGAGTTTAAATTGTAAAAATGAAGGGCCAAGTCCCCTTCAAAGGGGAGATAATCAAGAAAAATACAAAAATTGGGTGGGGTCATTAAAAAATCTTCTCAAGAACCACTGGACCAGAAAAGCTGAAACTTATGTGGAAGCATCCCAGGGTAGTGTAGATTCTAAATTGTTCAAATCATGACCCCCGGGGGTAGGGCGGGGCCACAATAAGGAATCCAAGTTTTACATTGAAATATGTAGTAAAAATCTTTAAAAATCTTCTTCTCAAGAACCACTGGGCCAGAAAAGCTGAAACTTATGTGGAAGCATCCCAGGGTAGTGTAGATTCTAAATTGTTCAAATCATGACCCCTGGGGGTAGGGCGGGGCCACAATAGGGAATCCAAGTTTTACATTGAAATATGCAGAAAAAGTCTTTAAAAATCTTCTTCTCAAGAACCACTGGGCCAGAAAAGCTGAAACTTATGTGGAAGCATCCCAGGGTAGTGTAGATTCTAAATTGTTCAAATCATGACCCCCGGGGGTAGGGCGGGGCCACAATAAGGAATCCAAGTTTTACATTGAAATATGTAGTAAAAATCTTTAAAAATCTTCTTCTCAAGAACCACTGGACCAGAAAAGCTGAAACTTATGTGGAAGCATCCCAGGGTAGTGTAGATTCTAAATTTTTCAAATCATGACCCCCGGGGGTAGGGCGGGGCCACAATAGGGAATCCAAGTTTTACATTGAAATATGTAGTAAAAATCCTTAAAAATCTTCTTCTCAAGAACCACTGGGCCAGAAAAGCTGAAACTTATGTGGAAGCATCCTGTGGTAGTGTAGATTCTAAATTGTTTAAATCATGACCCCCGGGAATAGGGCGGGGCCACAATAGGGAATCCAAGTTTTACATTGAAATATGTAGTAAAAATCTTTAAAAATCTTCTTCTCAAGAACCACTGGGCCAGAAAAGCCGAAACTTAAGTGGAAGTATCCTGGGGTAGTGTAGATTCTAAATTGTTCAAATCATGACCCCCGGGGGTAGGGCAGGGCCACATTAGGTAATCCAAGTTTTACATTGAAATATGCAGAAAAAGTCTTTAAAAATCTTCTTCTCAAGAACCACTGGGCCAGAAAAGCTGAAGCTTATGTGGAAGCATCCTGGGGTAGTGTAGAATCTAAATTGTTCAAATCATGACCCCTGGGGGTAGGGCGGGGCCACAATAGGGAATCCAAGTTTTACATTGAAATATGTAGTAAAAATCTTTAAAAATCTTCTTCTCCAGAACCACTGGGCCAGAAAAGCTGAAACTTATGTGGAAGCATCCTGGGGTAGTGTAGATTCTAAATTGTTCAAATCATGACCCCCGGGGGTAGGGCGGGGCCACATTAGGTAATCCAAGTTTTACGTTGAAATATGCAGAAAAAGTCTTTAAAAATCTTCTTCTCAAGAACCACTGGGCCAGAAAAGCTGAAGCTTATGTGGAAGCATCCCGGGGTAGTGTAGATTCTAATTGTTCAAATCATGACCCCTGGGGGTAGGGCGGGGCCACAATAAGTACTGGGGGGGGGAATCAGGTGAAAAACAACAAGGCCAAGGTTACTCAGGTGAGCGCTGTGGCCCATGGGCCTCTTGTTTCCTTAATTATTCCTCAGCTTCAATTTATGTCTTAGAGAAAAAAACACAGTAACTAATAGGAGATTCATATAGCTAAGTATAGTCAAAATCCGTAATTGAAATTTTTACAACCATATCTTTATTTGGCAGAACTTGCTTCAAAAACTATTTGTGTTATATAATTGTGTAAATTTGCCATATTGTTCGAGTTTTTTTTTTTTCAGAGTACCTGAATTACTATTTCAGCCTTCAATGATAGGAATTGAGCAAGCCGGAATTGCTGAGACCATGGATTTTGTTCTCAAGAAATTTAATGCTGACATGCAAAACAAATTAGCACAGGTAATTTAGGAAAAAGTTGTGCGGATGTTGGTGGAAAAATTAATTTAATCTTTTTCCCCCAGAATTGCTTAACTTAAATGTAACAATTAAACTGTATAGAACTTGAATTTACTGATGTTATTTTTAGCTCTACTGGTCAGAGACCAGAAGAGCTTATGCAATACATGTAGTATCCGTCATCTGTCTGTCTAGCTGTATGTCTGTTAACATTTTTAGCTCTTCTGAGCCAAAGGCTCAAAGAGCTAATGCTATGGCCATTTGTGCAGTGTTTTAGAATATGGGCCATAACTCAAGAACCCCTTGTCCAATTATTGTCAAATTGTCACAGGGCATCCTTGGCCCAAGGGCTCCCTTTTATACTAAAATTAGGGTTGTGACCCTTAAACAATTATAATTAGGAAAATAGAAACAAAAGTACTGGTTGCTAAAAAATCTTCTTCTCAAGAACCACTGGGCAGATTATCACCAAACTTACACAAAAGGATAAGGATATGTTGTTGATTAAAATTTGCACAGGGATTTACCCTGGGGCAGAGGGCGTGGTCTCAAGGTCACTTCAGAGTTGACCAAAAATTACGTTTTATTAAAATGTTGATATTTTGCTTACTTTAAGGACTAGGATCATCAAATCTTGTCAGTTGATGCATCTAAGGACCTCATATCATGACTCAAAAGTAGGTCACGATGACCTACTTTTTAAATTTTGCGGCCGTTCTTTTTCAAAATGATTTAGAGGCATATTTTGAACAATTTAAGGCCTATGATCATCAAACTTTGTCAGTTGATGTATCTTGGGTCCTCGGAGTATGTTGACTAAAAGTAGGTCACCTTGACCTACTTTTTGAATTTTATGGCTAATCTTTTTCAAACAATTAAGGTCAATAATTCAAATACTGAGAGGTTTAGAATCATTAAATCTTGTTAGATGATGCATCTTGGGGGCCATAAAACATATTTATTAAAAAGTAGGTCACAGTGACCTACTTTTTTAACTTTGCAGGCATTCGATTTCAAAGCATTTTAGAGGCATAATTTGGACATTTTAAGACCTAAGATCATAAAACTTTGTAAGTTGATGCAACTTGGGTCCTCAAAAAAGGTCAACTGATAAGTAGGTCACTGTGACCTAGTTTTCAATTTATATGACTATAATTAAATATTTCAGGTACTAATTGGCTTAGAATCATCAAACTTTGTCAGTTGATGTATCTTGGGTCCTTGAAGTACAACACTGAAAAGTAGGTCACGGTGACCTACTTTTGAAATTTTATGGCTTTATTTAAATATTTTTGGGTACTAATTGGCTTAGAATCATCAAACTTTGTCAGTCGATGTATCTTGGGTCGTTGGAGTACGACAACTGAAAAGTAGGTCACGGTGACCTACTTTTGAAATTTTATGGCTTTAATTCAATATTTCAGGTACTAATTGGCTTAGAATCATCAAACTTTGTCAGTTGTTGCATCTTGGGTCTTCAGAGTAGGTCGACTAAAAAGTAGGTCACCGTGACCTACTTTTGAAAATTTATGGCTTAATTTAAATATTTTTGGGTACTAATTGGCTTAGAATCATCAAACTTTGTCAGTTGATGTATCTTGGGTCCTTGAAGTACAACACTGAAAAGTAGGTCACGGTGACCTACTTTTGAAATTTTATGGCTTTAATTAAATATTTTGGGTACTAATTGGCTTAGAATCATCAAACTTTGTCAGTTGATGCATCTTGGGTCCTTGGAGTACAACAACTGAAAAGTAGGTCACTTTGACCTACTTATAAAATTTTATGGTTATAATTTTAAAAAAATATTTTAGGTATTAATTGGCTTAGAATCATCAAACTTAGTTGATGTGTCCTCAGAGAACGACAAGTGATAAGAAATCACCATGACCAACTCTCGGGTACTTATTGGCTCAGAATCATCTTGGGTTCTCAGAGTGTGAATTGGAATTTCAAGGGTTTATCTAAATATACAGGATACTTAGAGGCTTCAGATAGAAGTGATAGGTTGTACAGTTTATCAGAAGAGCGATTCAAGGCCCTTGGGCCTCTTGTTTTAAAATTGTTTTAAAATAGTTTTGGTCTGATTTTGATATAACTTGGCATACAAGTAGACTACACTAAGATACATAATTCTACGTATAGGTTTTTGCTTTCAATGAATGGTTTTACCATGGTTACTAAAAATAGAAATTTCTGTGAATACTTAAAAAAAGCTACTCCTCCTACAGTTTTCGTCTGATTTCATTATAACTTGGCACACAAGTAGTATACACATTTAAACATAAATTTGTTAGTTTTTGATTTAGATGAACAGTGATGTCATATGGTTACTAAAAATAGAAATTTCTGTGAAATACATTCAAAGTGCTACTCCTCCTACAGTTTTGGTAAGATTTAAATATAACATGAAACACAAGTAGACTACACTAAGATACATAAAATTTTTACATCAGTTTTTAATTTCAGTGAACAATGTTGCCATGGTTACTAAAAATATTAATATCTCTGAAAATCATTCCAAACCCTAATCATCCAACAGTTTTGGTCTGATTTTAATATAACTTGGCATGCAATACTACATTGAGATACAATATCGTCTTTTTATGGCATTTTTACTTTGATGACCGATTATGCCATAGTTACTAAAAATAGAAATTTCTGTAAAACTCTTTCAAAATACTACCCCTTGTTCAGTTTTAGTCTGATTGCAATAAATTTTGCCACAAAAAAGAGACTAAACCAAGGATCATTATTAGGGCCCCGCAAGGATTTGCGGGTGCCCTATAGTAATCACTCTGTCTGTCTGTCCGTCTGTCTGTCTGTCTGTCCGTCTGTCATTCTTCCGTCCACAAATTTTCTGTTTTTTTCTAATAACTTTTTTTAGGGTTGACCAATTAAGTTCAAATTTGGTATGTTGGTTGAATAGGCATTAAGACTTATTTTGATGCTAAGTTTGGTTCTCTATGTCATCTGGTTTGGAGCTGGGGTGGTGGGGTAGATTCCTTAACTTTATATAAGAGTGAATGGGCAAAGAGAGATAACTGCTGAGAATGTTCCTATTGTAAACTATGAAAGGCTGCAATGAGTCTCTTGGGGTTAATTAACTTTCCTCTTGAAGAAAATCCAAAGCATTTATCTTTATCTGTCACATTGAGATTAATTAACACCTCTGTCTGCAAATAAAGTTTGTTTTGAAGTTAAGGTCAGTTCTGAATGATGTTTACATTCTCTGAAATGTTGATTTATAATATTCATACTTTATTTTTGTAAAAAATACAATGAGTTATGATTTTATTAAATTCTAAAAACAAGATATAAATAAAGATATCTTTATTATTATTATTTTATTTTTTTTCTTTTCCTTTTTTCTTTCTTTTTTTCTGCCTTATGTAAATTCAAGAATACTATTCATTTTAACAGGTATTCAGATAATAACCTCATTCTATCATTGCTGGAAAAGTTCTTAGAAAAGTTTGAGAGAGCAGTATAATTAATCTCCTGGGATTGATTATCTTGCTGGTTGCAGAAAAATTTATAGGGTTATCTTTCTGTCATTTTAAGATTAATTAACACCTTTGTCTGCAACTGATGTTTGTTTTGAAGTTAAGGTCAAGCCTGGGTGATATTTGCATTCACTGAAGGCTTGCATTTTAGAAAATACATGCTTCATTCTTCTTTAAATATACATTTTATTGAGTTATTATAGATGTTTTTTACTGCCTTATGGACAAGGACACTATTTACAGATTGTTGGATATTTAGCAGTTGCTGGTCCTTATTTTTCTTTATGTATTTTTAAATTTTTATAATCAAGTAAAATTGTCATCCCCTAATCTGCACCCTTATATTTCTACCCCTTGGTGGGGCCCTTGCTGAATGGTCAGATTTCTAGTTCTGTTTATTGCTTATTGTTTATTTATTGCATAGTTTCAAGTCCAAGTGCTACTTTTCTCTTCCTATTTTAAGTACAAACCAGTAAAGCTACAGTCTCATCAGAAACTTCTGGTTTCCTGTATAAATCTAATTTTGCTCAAATAATGAACATGATAACGTGAGTGTAATGACCCTTAATGTAAATGATTTACAGATTTTTTGAATTTGCAAAGTTATTGAGAATATGAATGAAGCAAATATTAACACCACAGTTACGTAGCGATTTAGTATTAAAGTAATAACACCACATTTCCCTATACAGTACCTTATAATCATGCTTACATTTTGTACACGAAGAAGTTTTTTTTCTTTGGTTATTCTTAGAATGTGTTCATCACTGGAGGAAATGCCATGTTCAGTCATTTTAAAGAGAGACTTGAGAGAGAGTTACTGGCCATGAGACCTTTCCAGTCAACATTTTATGTTTCTTTAGCAAGTATGTGACTTCTTTTTAAGAAATAAGTACTTGAAATGGAGACGCAAATTGTTGCATAATTCTACATGGTTATTGCAAAGATCAAAGAGAGGCTGCGGCCATTATTCTCCAATAAATCACAAACCTCATAACAATTTATCACTAGTTTTAAATTGGTTTCCTCTAATTTTGACTGCTTTCACTAGGAAAAGGATAGAGGTATCTTTTGATTGTGACACTAATTGGTGGGAAAAATTTACTTTGAATTAGGATTACGTCATACTCTTTCTAATCCTTGAGATACAAATGAATGAGGATAGCATTCAATTGTGGCATCATAAGACACTTGTGATGATGTCCAAAGCTAAGTTCTGCATTTCTCTATATAGAAGTTTAAATATTGCCCTTCAAGCTTGGTTTTTATTTGCCAACAAAATCTCGAGACTCTCGGGATATATTCTCCAAGAATTCCTCTGATGCAGGAATCTTTTCTTAATTAAACAGAAAAGTCAATTTTAAGTACACTATTTAGATGATCAAATTAAGTAATGAAGCATAATTAATCTATCGGTCATCTACTTTGGGTAAAATTTAGAGATAATTCAGCCTCATTGTGTATGCAAGCATCCACAGAGATTATAAAAGGTGTAAGTGTAAAGATGAGTTTACAGCTACTTGGGTTGAGAATGGGATATTACATATATTAGCCTAATATTCTTGAAATATCTAATTACAATATCCTTGTGGGAAAAAAAATGAATATAAGAAAAACTGCTGCCTGTAATTTATTTTCAATGAAGCAAATCTCCAATTTTTGAAATTGCCCAAATCTTCTTGTGAACAATGACTAGTTTACAGTTGAATTCACAGATGTATGGTTTTTAACAACATTGCCTTCAACATAATTTTGCTGTGTACGGTATGCAGATTCTTGCATTGATAAGAACCCAGAGTAAAGGGAATGCAGTGACCTTGAATGCACTTTCTAGATCAAAGGTTGTGGTAAAAAAGAAAACAAAATCTGTATAATCTTTATCTGAAGCATATTTTCTCTCTCTCTCTGTGGCCCCTTCTAGCTCATACCTTGCCCATAGATTGTTCATGGGTAAAAAATGTTCAGTTTCGGTCAACTTCATAACTATGGTTTGTGGAAATGTAACTCTTAAACCCCAGTCACATTTTGAAAAACAACCAACGGCTGACAGTTTTTAAGGCAAAAATAGGATTCTTCAGGAGACAGTTGGCTGTTCAACGGCCGTTGTCTTGCCAGATTTTGACATCTTTTTTTGTAGGAAGACCAATTTTTTGTCTGTCGGGCCATGTTATAATTTTTGATTATAATAATAATAATTCGGTGGCTGATTCCTTCTTATGAAGCAGGTTGGTCAGTCGATATGTAGGAATTGGGTTTTTGTAGATGATGGCTGGTGGTGAAAATCAAACTGAGGCTTAGCTAATGATGATCAGGCAACTGTTGGCCAACTTAGAATTATTTAATTTTTGAAAATTATCAGTGTTCCTAGAAATTAATGTGACTGCTCCGCGTCACCTGATACCAATGTCGGACGATCATGTTTTTCAGCCCATGATATGAGAAAAATTTGGTCGCCTGACCATCGCCTTAAATGTGACCAAGGTATTATGCCAAAAAAGTTAGGAACATTAACAAAAGAGCTAGGTTCACTTTTTGCATAAAATGGCCCTGTAGATATACCAATTTATGGACAAACACATTATGTCCCATTTCAAATATCAAAATGAAGCAGAGACTTAGAGTATAGTCTTTGAACTTTTCTTTCCTATTTGAAAAAGTTTCCTCTGGAAGTCCAGGTATTGGAAGATAGGCATAATGTTTTTTAAGCATGTTAAAGTTTAAGGAGCAGGTCTCAGTACATACAAGGTTATTATTTTTGCCATATCATTTTTTCAAACGAATTTGACATATTTTAAATTCTCTTAGATGCAGTTTTGTTGAAATATTCCTTAAAATCTTGTTTTAAATTTGCTCATTTGCAAAAAGGGCAAAAATAAAATGGGGGTGAAAATTTCATGTATATAGTATAAACTCGATGGTGACTAAAGTTTGCTTGGATGATGCATGTAGGGATACACACTCATCAACCAGAATTGCTGTTGAATGTTGGAACTGACTTTCAAAATTTCTGGATGAATGTACAGTTAAGTTGTTGAAGCTAAAAGTAACTATAAATCCTACTCAGAACTAATTTGCTTAGATGTTGCATCTAGGGAAGCACAATACCAGAACATTTGTTTAGTGTAAGACTTTGCCTTAGTTATACATGTAGTTAATATTGATTGTCTATGTTTATTTATTCATATGTATTGTTGTTTCAACACATTGTTTCTATTTGAAACTGTTGATAATTTTAGAAAACCCCATTCTTGACGCTTGGTATGGAGCCAGAAAGTTTGCATTATCTTCCTTGTTGATGAATGGCAGTATTACAAAAGCAGATTATGAGGAAAAGGGCAGTGAATACCTGAAAGAACATTGTGCATCCAATAAATATTTTCAAATGCCTCCATCAAACAAATGAATCAATAAACTTTGAAAGTATTATTTTTGTGTTTCATTTTGAATTTTCAGGAAAAATTATACTTACACTGTACATAGTAACTGGGTCAAGCACCCAGTTTGCTGTTTTCAGTCACCTGTGTCATTCAGGTGACCTATTGCTATCTGTTTTTGTCCATCGTCTGTCAAGGACATGCTTCATCCATAAACTTTTGAACATTTTCAGCTTCTCATTAACCTCTAAATCACAGTTTCAACAAATTTTCATATACAGAATCTTTGGGCAAAAGGATAACAAATTATGAATTTCATGATCTCCCCCCCCCCCCTTTAGGGCCCAATGGGTGTGGCCAAAACCAAAAAAAATTAATGCATAAAAATCTTTATCCTGGACATGCATCAGTTAGTTAAACTGTTAACATGATTATCATATACAGTTAGCCCTTAACCAAAATTGTTAGGTTTATGGACCCAGGGTAGGAGTTTTAGAAGTTAAATGGGGCTCTATTGATCATAGAATGAAAATGCATAAAACCATTTAAAAACTTCTTTGCTCCCTCTTTATAATTAGCAAATAAATTAAGTGCATGATTATGATGAGCAAGGATGTCTCTTTCAAAATTGTGAATATCATGGCCTCTGGGTTTGTGGCTCTGGTGTTAGGATAGGGCTCTATTGATTACATAGTGTAAATGCTTTATTACTTTGAAAATCCTTTTTATGCCCCTAGGTATCTGGCAAATTACTAAATGCATGGTTATGATGAACAAGGGTGCCTCTTCAAAAAGTATGAAATTATGGCCCCTGGGTCAGGGTTTGTGGTGTTAGGGCAGTGCTATTTTGATTATACAGTGTAAATGCAAAAATTTAAAAATCTTCTTTGCCCTGGTTATTTAGCAACATTCTAGTGTATGGCTACGATGAACAAGAGTACTGTACGTGTACTTAAATTGACATATTCAAAATTTAGCGTAATCACTAGGTATTGAGATTTTGGCGTATTCATGAATTAGCACTGCACACTTCCGCGCCGTATATTGTATTCATAAAATGATTTTTTAGTGGTAGTCATGAATTAGCACATCGTTGTCCGCACCAAAGCCGCTAAAATATGAAGCCCGCTTTTTTAAGTACACATACAGTATCTCTGAAATTATGAATCTCATGGCTCTTGGGTCTGGGGTTCTGGTATTAGGGAAGCACTCTATTGATTATATAGTGAAAATGCATTATTTCTTTGACAATCTTATCCCAAGTGTGATTGACTGATTGATTGTATGTTGTTTAACATCCCTCTCAAGAATTTTTCACTCATATGGAGACGCTACCACTTGCCGGTGGAGAGCTGCAAATTTTGTCTTATGCTCGGCATTTACGGCCATTGAGCAGTGAGGGATCTTTTTTGTGCCAGCACCTACTGCAACACGGGACCTCGGTTTATACGGTCTCATCCGAAGGACCGGTTTCCACGTCCCACAGTGGGATTTGAACCCACTACGTAAGGATCTATCCTAGGTATGAAAGTAACAAACTAAGTACACGGTTATGATGAGCAAATATGTTTTTCTCGAAAATTTTACCTTCTGTGTTTGTGCAAACTATCATGAATGCCAATTGCTTGATCACATCATAAAACCAAATGAGAGGCCCATGGGCCACAATGCTCACCTGAGTCGATGGTCCTTCTAGTCTTTGTTAGCAGATTCTTTTTCCCACGTATTCTGATGTAAAATTTTGATCACCTTTTATGGCCCCATCCTACCCCAGGGGATGATGATCTGAACAAATTTCAATCTAGACTACCAGAGGATGCTTCCATATAAATATGACTAATCATAGATTTGTTGTTCTTGAGAAGATGACATTTAACATTTTCCAATGTGCTCCTGTGTAAAACTTTGATCACCCATTGTGGCCTCACCCTAGTTCTGGGGGTCATGTTTTAAACAAATTTGAATCTTACAACCTGTGGATGCTTCCTTTAAAATTTGACTATTCATGGCTTTGATGTTCTTGGGAAAACTTATGTTTGAGATGAATATTTTTAAGATTTTTCTTACATATTCCTATGTAAAACTTTGATCCCCTGTTGTGGCCCCAGGGGCAATGATATGAAGAAACTTAGATCTTCACTACCTGAGGGTGCTTCTGTATTAATACGACTAATAATGGCTTTGCTGTCCTTGAGAAGATTTTTAAAGATATTTCCTACATATTCCTATGTAAAACTTCATTCCTCTGTTGTGATCCCGTGTATGGGGTGACATGAACAAAATTTAATCTACAGTATGTAATGAAGATCTCGCATAAGTTTAATTTTTTCTGTTGCAGCAGTTCTTGAGAAGAAAATTTTCAAAAGATGCCACCAAAATTTCACAAATCGTAATTATCTCCCCTGGTAAGAGGGTGTAGTCATTCATTTGAACAAAATTGAATATCCTTCATCCAAGGATACTCTGTGCCAAGTTTGGTTGAAATTGGCCCCGTGGTTCTGGAGAAGAAGATGAAATTGTAAAAAGTTAATGACAACAAGAGACAATGGACAATTATTGATCAGAAAAGCTCACTTGAGCCCTCGGTTCAGGTGAGCTTAAAACGTGACAGTTATTCCATAAATAATGTAATTCATAGGTCAGTTGAATCAAAGAATATGCTAACAATGATACAAAATTTACTCAAGTTTTTTATGGTCAGGTAGACTTGTTAACAAGAGATAAAATTTAGACAAAAACAAGAGGTCCATGGGCCACAACGCTCACCTGAGTCAATATGGCATTGCTGTTCTTCATCAGCAGATTTCTTCTATTTATTCATATGTAAAGCTTTCATCGTCTGTTCTAGGCATACCCTACCCTCAGGTGCCATGTTTTGAATAAAATTGAATCATTTCTGAGGATTCTTCTATATTCATATAACTAATCGTGGCGTTGGTAGTCTTGTAAATGGAATTTTAAAGATGTCTGCCACCCTACCCGGGGGGGGGGGGGGGTCATGATTTGTACAAACTTGAATCTACACTACCTGAGGATGCTTCCATATCAGTATGACTAATCATGGCTTTGTTGTTCTTGAGAAGATTTTTAAAGATTTTTCTTATATATGTTATCTTGTATAACTGATCCCCCATTATGGCACCACTCTACTACTGGAGGATGCTTTGAAAACTTGAATCTTCCATATCAATAGGACTAATCATGGCTTTCCTGTTCTTGAAAAGTTTTTTAAAGAATTTTCCTATATATTCCTTTGTAAAACTTTGATCTCCAATTGTGGTCCCACCCTATCCCCGGGGGTCATGACTTGAACAGACTTGAATCTACACTACCTGAGGATGATTCCGTATCAATATAACTAATTATAGTTTTGTTGTTCTTGAGAAGATTTTTAAAGATTTTTCTTATATATGTTATCTTGTATAACTGATCCCCCATTATGGCACTACTCTACTACTGGAGGATGCCTTGAAAACTTGAATCTTCCATATCAATAGGACTAATCATGGCTTTCCTGTTCTTGAAAAGTTTTTTAAAGAATTTTCCTATATATTCCTTTGTAAAACTTTGATCTCCCATTGTGGTCCCACCCTACCCCCGGGGGTCATGACTTGAACAGACTTGAATCTACACTACCTGAGGATGATTCCGTATCAATATGACTAATTATAGTTTTGTTGTTCTTGAGAAGAAGATTTTTAAAGATTTTTCCTATATATTCCTATGTAAAACTTTGATCCCCCATTGTGGCTCTATTATACCCCTAGGGGTCATGATTTGAACAAGCTTGAATCTACACTACCAGAGGATGATTCCATATGAATATGACTAATTGTGGCTTTGTTATTCTTAGGAAGAAGATTTTTAAAGATTTTTCTGTCATAGTGTGTTATTTTGTGTAAAGATATTTTTGTAACTATTTAGGATTTGACTTAGAGAATTAATTAATTATACCCCGGTACTCATATGTGTGATGACAAACATTTGACAAGACTCAATCTGTTAAGATAATTATCTGTAATTAATGGCATATGGTCACTCGGTTTCAGCTTAAATAATTATCTGAGTGGTCATCATTAGTGTTTTATTTATAATTATACTTAATTAACCCTTTCATTATAAATATACTGTTAGAATATCCTCATGCTACTAACTTGGGTCTTAAAGTGGCTTTCTAAGAGACTGTCCACCAGTCTGCCAGTAGACCAAGTAGTGCTGAGTCCAAATTGATTGTATTATTTTAAAAGTTTATTTCATTGTTTTCTTTACTTTATCAATTCCAATTTCCTAATTCATACTCCAATTTATTTGTTTCTGGCTTTGTTTCATTTGATCATTGTGGATACAATTATTGAACTAAATTGCAACCTAATAAATTGTAAAAACTGTCAAGCTGCCTTCGAGTCATAACTCTATGCATATTTGATCTTGGTGTTGCTAAGCCCAAACATAGGCTGACCCCCTGTCTCTTGGTTAGAGCAATGTCAGAGTAAGTTACCTTTATCTACTGGTGCCTTGTAAATCGGTGACATTTCCCTTATATTCCTATATAAAACTTTGATCCCCCATTGTGGCCCCATCCTACCCCGGGGGTCATGATTTGAACAAACTTGAATCTACACTACCTGAGGATGATTACATATCAATATGACTAATTGTGGCTTTGTTGCTCTTGAGAAGAAGATTTTTGAAGATTTTTCCTATATATTCCTATGTAAAACTTTGATCGCCCATTGTGGCCCAATCCTACCCCCCGGGGTCATGATTTGAACAAACTTGAATCTACACTACCAGAGGATGATTCCGTATCAATATGACTAATTGTGGCTTTGTTGTTTTTGAGATGATTTTTAAAGATTTTTTTCTATATATTCCTATGTAAAACTTTGATCCCCATTGTGGCCCCATCCTACCCCCGGGGGTCATGATTTGAACAAACTTGAATCTACACTACCAGAGGATGATTACGTATCAATATAACTAACTGTGGCTTTGTTGCTCTTGAGAAGAAGATTTTAAAGATTTTTCCTATATATTCCTATGTAAAACTTT